ACGCGATTGCACTCAGCAATCCTCATCATACGCTGGGGACGCGGAGAGACATGGAGCCATCGTTCATCCCATTCCTACCACCATTCATGTATCCTAACCATGGAGGGCAGGAGCATTTTTGGTAAAAGGCAAACTCTTCTTCCTTTCCATTTCCATGAAATTCCGCTTAAACGTAAAAAGGTCAAAAGCATGTTCAAACATGTTAAGGTTAATATTTTTTTTATTTAATTTTAATAAATTTATTATCGTCAATTATATTATTTAATAATAAAATTATTTATATTTTTAATCATGAAATTAAAATTTAATCTTAAATCTCTGTTTACCAAAAAAATAAATTTATTTATTTATTTATTCAATATAATAATTAATTGATAAATTCAATTGGGAGCTTTTACATAAATGGTTTTTTTTTTTCCCCGGAGTATATTAACATATATTCTCACGCCATAGCCGGCGCTCGATATCATGTTGGCTTAATACCATAGTTTTTGCGCCACGTCTATGATCCAAACTTCTTACTGTCATCATCCAAGTAAATTTGGACGGAAAACACCATTGATAAAGTGGCATTTAGGGATGGTACAAGGAAAAACGACAAACTTAGAATTGGAAAGTATTGATTTGAAGTAATTTTAAAATCTACTCAAATTTGAAATTATTTTGTTGGAACCTCTCACCGTTTACCTTTCACTTTATACTATTACAGTTTTTTTTTTTTCTTTCAACTTATTTGTTATATGAAAATATGAATATTATGTTTATAAGAATGTGTTTTAATATTGTAAATTTATAATCATAATATATTATTATTTTATTATTTTTTATTCAAAATCTACACATTAATTAATCAATAAAAATTAACTTTTTTAATACTTCCTTTGCTCCAATATATTCGTTGTATTATCCTTTTCTTCACGCTTTTTCTTTTATTTGATATAAAACTCCGTCTGTCATTTCACTTTCTTTTTCGCCTTTTCTTCTTTCATTGTTAAATGGAAAATTTTAGTCAATGAAAGTAGATTTGATGTATTGAGAATATAAGAGAAAATAATAGCCATTTTGAAGAGTTTTCCCAATATTCATTAGCCAAAAACGAGTATAGTATATGAAATGGAGGAAGGCAGGGAGTCTTTTTTTTTTTAGATTGACAAAGCTTAGAGTTATTAAACTTTTATTAGAGGGTAAAAGTCAAAACAGTAAAAGCAATCTTCATTTATTCAAAACGACAAATAAATAAGAACAAACATTTCTATTTAAAATGACTAATATAGTGCAAGAGAAGAAGTACTACTCTCTTTTTCCTATTTAAGTCATTGCATTTGTCCCAATTTAGTTGTCAATTTCCATTTTAAATAAAGCATTAAAAGCTGTCTTTTCAACTTACCTCCCTTTGCAATTTGATAGTAACTTCTTTAACAGAACTTAATAATTTCTTCTTACCTCTACGTTAATCAAACTCTACTAAGGGTAAATATGAAATTTTAACTTATAATAATTGTGGTTTCATGGAATTTGGTAGTTTTTTTTTTTTTTTTTGGGGTAAGTGTGATAAGAAAA